CACCAAAAAGAAAGAAGCTATTAAAGCCTACTAAGGTCATGCCATAAGAACTTAAGAGCCAATTTGAAGAGGCTCCCACTGACCAAAGATGAAGCAATTTGAGTGTCAGTGAAGAAATGAACTACAATGAATTGAAAATGATCAAATATCTTTAAATTCGTGAGTTCAAAGTAATGTTTTTAATTGAACTGGTCCTTGTGAAGATAACAGCGAACCAACTTGTTCTCTTGAAACCTAGGTAAATAAAATGAAAGAATCAATTATCTTGCTTTCCCTATTTGAACTATATCACTGGGTAACCAAACAGTAGAGGAGTATCTCCTTACGAAAATATTCCAGTTAACATAAGGAAACAAAATGACAAAATTTTCCTGTCACTATTTTGCAAACACCATGAATTAATGGATCTAGGCACTGAACATCAATGGTTGGTAACATCAAGAAAGAACAAAACCCAGACATTAGGTGTCTCCAGATGAAAGAACACCTTACCACCTATAGTCTCGCCAAAAGGATCAAAAGGAATCTGATCAAGCTTCTGGATCCCACTGGCAATGTGCAGAGAATACAGATGACAGGGTAACATATGGAACTATATCATGGTTCTACAAAGAACAGAAAACAGACTATGAGAAAATATATCAGTTCTTTCACAGATAAATTGTAAGCAATGAAAGGAATGGAGGAAAATCTGTACATTTCAAAAAGGACTTAAAAGATCAAGTTTTTTAAAAATGGGCAGACTAAAGCTACCTTGTCAACGGATGCATACTTGGATAACAAAACCATCAAAAGACCCAAGGGGGTGACTTTTGCAATCAAAAGTCAGGGTATTGATTAGTTTGAGAGGAAGGCTAAAGATTGTGATTGGTATGAGGAGTATGAAGTGGGTACTGGCGTGACTGGCAAAGTCCATTTTGTTGTGGTTTGTTTGTTTCCGTATTTTTATTTTACAATTAAGAGGTGGTTGTTGTTGTTGTTGTTTTAAGTGTCCAATGAGTTTAACATTCCTGGCAAAAGAAGTTTCAATAGAGCTGTAGAGCAAAAGTTAGACTGCAGTGAGATAAGGAATGAAAGGAAAGTTAGAAATGGGAATAATAAATGTAGGCTTCTGTCGCTGAAGTGTGGCTGAGAATGGAAGGCGAGAGAGCTATAGGTTTAAGATGACATAGGGCAAAGACAGAGAGGTTTCCTTTTTTTTCTTTTTGCTCATTTGGTTTAAAATGAATGAGACTTGAACAGGTTTATGTGCCAAAGGGAGAGAAAAAGTAGAAAGCGGAACATTGGAGATGCATTTGAGAGAAGGGTAATTGGCAGAGCAAAATCCATGAGGAGACTAAAGGGAATATGATACCAAAAATAGGTAGCAGATTGACCCTAAGTAGGAGGCTGAAAGTGGTCATTTCTACTGAGACAATGGAAAGGAAACGAAAAATTTGAGGTAAACTTAGAGATGGAGGGCTAACAGCAGAAAGCTGAGGAAGTTCCCACTCTCTGTTCTCTATTTTCTCTGTGAAACAGGAAAGGGACTATCTGCTGATACAGGTGGGAGGTGGGGAGCATAAGGTATTCAGTGAATGTTTAAAATATCCAAAGTGGTCTTGGAAGTTCCATAGAGACTGAAAGCTGAATTCATAGTGATACTAATCCATGCCATTTTGTCATATTCTTCAGAAACTTGAGTGTAGGATTAAAGAGGGTATAGTTAAATTGATGAACTCTTTGTTGTTCATTTGTATTTTCAGGTCAGCCTAATAAGGCAGGAACTGGTTAAGGTGATAGGGAAAGACAGAAAGGAGAGTACTGAAAAAATGGGGCCAGGGGACGAAATAACTCTGAGGCTTAAAGCACTGAGTGAATAGGGCTATGGGATGAAAAACAGATTTAGGAGAAAAGATAATGAGTTCATTTTTAATATTTCAAGTTTCTATGTCCAGTTCTAAATGTGAACCCAGATGCCCAGAAAGGAGATCTGGCCTGAAACTGCAGATTTGAGAAGCATCACCTTAAAGAAAATACAGAGTAAAAATAGAATATTAAAAAAAAAAAATGAAGAAAGAATCCTGAAAAACACTCTGGCTTAAAGATCAGGTAGAGAAATAGCAGGTATCAAAAGTCTCTGGGATGGACAGGCCAGAGAGGTAAGGAAAAAATCCAGGTGAAAGATGTCCCCAAAGCCCAGAAAAAAAGAGTCTGGGGGTAGGGAGTGGTCAAAATGTCAATGCTGCTGAGATGTGCAAAAGATGCCTTATTCATCTTTGTTTTCTTAGTGTCTAGGAAAACATGTGGCACATAGTTGAAACTCAGTAAGTGTAAATGTCCATGTTGTGTCCATCTCAATACCTGCAAGTCTCACTCCAACACTGTTAGGTTGTAAAAAATGCAAAAAGGGTATATAGGAAGGAAGGGAGAAAGGTAAGGGAAAGAAAAGAAAAAAGAAAAAAATACCTCACTCACCCAAATGTTTCATGCCGGTCCCATGTCTCTCCATCCCAGCTCACTGAAAATCATCCTATAAAACAAAGCATAATCTAAGTTCTCCCAAACTGCATATGCCTGTAAAATACAGACTGACTCATTGAAACAGTACAAATTCAAAGTTTCCTTGCTCTTGGGCCCATGTGAGATGCAGGGCTTACAGCTCCTTGAGAACAACCACCCCCCCGCCCCGGCAAGTGCCTCTAAAACCTGAGATGTGTCTCACAGGTGCTCAGGATGGGGCGCTGCCATTTTCCCACTATCTCTTGCTGGGTGGTTGAGTTCTCCATCCTGTCACTTCAAGGCCACTGAGGTCTCCTGCTACATGCTGCTGTTGACCCCCCAACCATCCCTAGGTGCCAGAGACCTCACCAGGTGTTATTCCTCTATCAGGCCACTTAAATCTTCTGTCAAGCACCATGGCTGAACATCCAGAGCCCTCAAAGTTCCAAAATTCCATGGCTCTCTGTGGGGAATTGTGCTTCTCCCTTCTGTGTTCTCATGTTAAATGTGCCCCAAAGCAATGTTGCTCCTGCTTACATTGTCTTACAGACCTGAGTAGAAGAGATCTCTCAATTTGTTTTTTACTCATAGACCTCTTTTTTTTTTTTCTCTAGGATTCAGACATGGATTGTTGTGACATCTAGCTTTTCATATCTGTCCGTTCATTTTATATCTGGGGTTTTTTTTTAAGTGCTTGATGTCAAAGAGTGCTTAATTTAAAAATCAAACCACATGAATGAATCAGAGAGAACTGAAATGGGTATAAATTATAAAAATCATACAGAAATCGTTTTGCAACAGGTTTCATGGGCACATTATTGATGGTCAAAGCAGCTGCCATTCTTAGTTCTTCATTCTAGTGTCCCATCATTACCATAACTCAGCTACTTTCTCAATCCCTGATCATCTCTGAGCACCTTTGTAATTCTGTTTCAAATAACAGACTGCAGACTTTCTTCCCACATGTCCAGGTCAAATTCCCAAGAAAGAAACTGATTGGACAAGCTAATTACCATTGTTATTGTATGGACATTTGTGTCAGGACACCTTTGCATCAGCAGTGACCACAAGTTAGTGTCATACAGTACCAGCAAGAATCCATGCACAAGGAGCTTCCCAGAAGGGGTCAGTGGGAGTGACAGGCATTCTCAGACATGAACTTCCTCCATCAGGAAATAACAATTCCTGCACTTAGTAACCTTCAGTAAAGATAGGTACTAGGCACACAGTTAGCTCTCAAATATTAGTTTTAGTTCCATGACTTAAAGAATTCCTTCGCATGACATTAAGTCCATTTAGGATATTTTTATCTTTCCAGTTTTATCTAATACATCTTCACTTGAATTCTAATAATGGCTAACATTTTCAGATAATAACAATATGCCTGGCACTTTTCTGTTATTAAATGGATTCACTCATTTCATCTTCACAACATAAAGTACCTCCATTACCCCTATTTTATAAATAAGAAAACTGAGACACAGAGATGTTAAGTACTTGCACAAGGGCACATAGCTAATAAATGGCTGAACAAGAATTCAAACCCAGGTATCATGGCTTCAAAGCTCAGAACTTATCACTAAGCCACACTGTTTCTCAAACATCAGCTAATATTACTACCATAATAATAAATAAATAACAGGAATAATGAGTGATTACTATATGCCAAAGAATGGGCTAAGGATACTACATATAGGGATGCAAAACCGTTTCATCCTGTGGCCGTTATTAAAAAAACATTTGCATCATAGTGCACAGCCAGAAACAAAGAAATCTGTAACTTTTCCTCTAAGCATTGTATTAGCTGCACCCCAAGTTTGGCTATGTTCCATCTTTATCATCCTGTTCAGTAGATTTTCTCATTTCCATTGTGATTTCTTCATCAAGCCATGAAATATCTAGAAGTGTTTTGTTCAGTTCCAGACATTTGGGAGTTTTTAGTTTTCTTGTTTATTTCTACTTTAATTCTATTGTGGTCAGAGAACATGCCCTGAATGGTTTCAGTGTTTTGAATGTTGCTGGGGGTTTCTTTACGGCTTAGTGCATACTCAATTTTGGTAAATGTTCCAAGTGCATCAGCTTTCCTCTATTTTCAGCTACTTCAAAGGACTGACTTTAGCTTAGAAAACCTCGAGAGTCCCTTCTAACACTACGTGTGAGAGTCTACGTGTAAGTAACTGGTGAAGAGTTAGCTCTCGTTCTTAATTTTCTTCCAGTGAACTCTCTTCTTTTCCCCTTGAAGAAAACACCACCTGTATTCGCCTGCACAGTCCTGTGCTCTTCTCACCGACGAGGAGAGACTGGCACCTCAGTTCCGCCGCCCGGAGCGGCCCGAACGCCGGACCCCGAGCCGCCCGCCCACGCGCGCGTCCGCTCCCGCTTCGCGCCAGCCCCAACCCCAGCCCCAAACCTCCCTGCCCCAGAGGAGGCCGAGGGGCGGGGCCCGCCGCGGCGTGCTGACGTCAGAGAAGGCTGCGACGCCGCTGGGTTCGCCGCGGCGCAGACGGCGGTGGCCGGCCGGTGCGAGCGCGGAGCGGGGCCTGGGCAGCAGCGGGACCGTAGGACCTCGCGCTGCGTTCGCGGGCTCCGGGGCGGGGGCGGCGGCGGCAAAGCCCCCTCCCCGGGGAGGCGGGGCCTGGGCGAGCTCCCCAGAGGGGGAGCGGCGGCGGCCGGGAAGGATGCATCAGAAGCTACTGAAGAGCGCGCATTACATAGAGCTGGGCAGCTACCAGTACTGGCCGGTCCTGGTGCCCCGCGGCATCCGCCTCTACACCTACGAGCAGATCCCTGTGTCCCTCAAGGACAACCCGTACATCACCGACGGCTACCGGGCCTACCTGCCCTCCAGGCTGTGTATCAAAAGGTACGGTCCTGCCGCCTCCGCGGGGCGCGCCTCAGGGGGCGCGCCGGCAGCCTCTCCTCCCCACCTACACCCTTTTTGTCTGGGGTCTGTGCTGCTTTCCCCGAAGCCATCATTTCCTAACTGCCCCATCCTTCTCATTCCTTTTTGCCATTTCTCCCTCTCGTTATCTTTTTCCCTCCCCCCGCCGGGTGCTTGATCCACGCAATAATAATGACAGTTAACAATGATTTTAATTACCACCATAGCAATTTCTCCTATGGTGCTCTGCAGTTTACAGAGAGCTTCTACATCCTTTATCGCATTTGGTGCTTCTTGGAATCGACCCCACTAACAATGGCCAAGTGATACTTGCCCCAGTGTATACCTAACCTTTGTTTATTTTTAGATCAACCCTATGGAAATGCAGATGGTTTGGGCCTGATAAATGCCTAACATGATATATAATAGGAAATTATATTAATATAATAGAAAACAGGTTCACATTGCCATATGTATGTATATGTATATCTGAGAGAAACCCCTGACTCATTCATTCAGCAGATACTATGGAGCCCCTCCTAGGTGCTAGGCACTATACCAGGTCATGCAGAGAACAGCAGATATGGCTCTTGTTCTCATGAAACTACTAAGGTTTGGTCTGAAAGACACACATTAAAGAGGTAATTACTCTATTGCATAATAACCATTGTGAAAAATGCTGTGTAGGAAAAGGAGTATAGCGAAGAGAGACTCTAACGGGCACCACCCTCTGCTAGAGCACCCTAGAAGCATTTCTAAGAAAGGAATTTCTTTATCATCTAAACCTTTAAAACCATGAGTCTCTTGAAAGCCTGGGTTTTAAAAAATAAAACCAAAATATCACTGTTCTGGTTTTTAGGCTAGCTTTGTGTTAAAACTCACTGTATGTACTTAAATGAAGAACCCCACTTCAAGAGAATTAAGGTACAGATACTGGTTAGATCTAGGATGCTATAGTGACAAACTCTAGTGCTGGAATGTTGAGTTGCTCAGGAAGCAATCACACATCTAATTCTTCGTCTTTTCAGCGTGGTCTTTCCCCAGTTCCTTTTGCCCTGCCTTGAAAGTGTTTTGGACTCACAGTCACAAGGTGACATTCTGCCCATCCCTACTCAGTGGATGGCCCACAGGCCTTCACAATTTGACTCCTAAGTACTATCTGCCTCCCCAGTGTCTCCTTTGCATAGGTTATTATACAAGAAATCAGAGCTGGGCCTTGCTATGGAGGTGAAGTTCCACAAGGACAGAGCAGGTAGTGAATTACCTTAATACCTTAAGTATTTTATTACCCACATAGTAGTAGTCCTCTGGATTCTGATGTTAGTGTCCAAATCTCATGGATTGAGAAGTGAAATACATACAGTGCTTTGATCTTGGGCTGTTGAGTCAAAAAGACTTGGGTATCCAGATCTGCCCCTTAACCATTTAATGAATCTTATTTTACCCTTTTGTAAAAACAAGGATAATCACAATTCCTGCTTCAAAAAATATTAAGGATTAAATGAGATTATGTGTATAAAATGATACACAGGGCATGACGCCTAACAGGCACTCAATTAATGGTGATTTGTTATCATCCTGATTATTGGTTTTGAAGCTGAACAGAGAGGCATAACTTCTCACAGAGTAAGAGTCGATTCTCTACAGGGAATATTCTTCCAAGTGCTCTTCCCACCAGCTTGGTCTTTTCCAAGTTCAACTTTTGCCCTCTCTTCTTTTAGCTGTCAAGAGTGACCAGGACAGATTTTGGATATAAGGAGAGGTTTTGTGTGTTACAACTGTTCTGCCAACACTCTTTTAGTTGGAAGGAGCATGCCAAGGTTGTGCCTCTCAGTTCAGTTAATCAGGTTATACTGGGTTTCACTTTTCAGTGAAAAGTTCTGAGGCAACAGGCAGAGTATTGATCATCAAACTAGTCCTATATGTTCCTTCATATTCCTGCATCCTCACTCCCCCCGCTCCCATATGAGTAGTCTTTATACTTGATGCTTATACAGGGTAAAGCCTGAAATTCATGATAAGAAGATTCACTTTATTCTTGATGATCGTTTGATAACGTGAGACCCTGTTATGTTTATGATGTGTAAAAATGGGAAAATGAGAACCATGGTGATTCCTACAAATTCAGCAAGTTAGAGTTATACATTAATGCTTATCAATAAGGAATCTGAACCAGTGAATGTCAAAGACCTTAATTCAAACAAAAAGATTAGATTTTGCAAGAGAAATGCAGGAGAATTTTAAACAATAAATAATCAGATGAGAATTTTAAACAATAAATCATCAGACGATTTCTATCCACAGCTAGGGAAACATTTCACAAAATGAAGGAGCTAGAAGGGATTTGCAGCAGCATCTAATCCACCTCCCTTGTTTTATAGTTGAAGAAACTGAAGCTGGAGAGGTTAAGTGACTTGCTTATGATCACAGAGCTAATTTGTTGCTGAGGGTGAGGATGGAGGGACAGTGAGCCTCTTGACTCCTGGTTGGTGTGGTACACTCCACACCAACCTGTGCTGTTAAGGCTACTTAAACTCAAACCAGTTAGACATTTAGTGGGCAAATAGTACTGATATTTAAAGTAACCTATTGTTCCTAAAAAGGAGAAACTCATGCGACCTAGGAACTAGTTTGGTTTCACACAACCACAGCAAAGCTGTTCCAGCATGCCTATCTTAAAGGACATTTCCAGTGGAAATGCTTCTCTCGAGTCTGTTTAGCTTTGCATTTGCTTTTAATGTGTACTAAAAAGGTATTTTAAGTTTGTGCCTAACCTTAGGAGGTTTTTGGATACCTGTTTTTGAACATGAAAGTATGGTAGCTAACATCCAGTTTTAATCTGCACATTCATTTCTGTAGACATTTAGCATCTAATCTGAGCAAGGCACTCTGCTTGGGACAGTGATGTCATAAAGATGGATGGTGCCAACCATCAGGGAGCTGATAGGCTGGAGGATGAGATGGAATTTATACATAAATAACTCAGATGAGGAAGGAAATGGTAAATATGATAAGAGAGGTGAGCACCAAAAAGCTCTAAGATCTCAGGACTGGTGGAGATGTGGAAGAACCTAAAGATCAACTGGACTAAGTGAGATACCATATTTGCAAAGGCAAAGATGGGGTTAGGGGCTTAAAGTAGCAAATGTTAGATAATTGCTCCCCCAAACTGTCCCTAACCTTCTAAATGCTGATGGTGAGCGAGCCAATATGAATCTGAGATGCATGTCTGTTTGTTTTCCAGTTTGTTTATTTTATCTAATGAGACAGTAAACATCTGGAGTCATTTGCTGGGTTTTTTTCTCTTCTTTACCCTGGGAATATATGATATGACATCAGTGTTACCTTCGGCAAGTGCGTCCAGAGAAGATTTTGTAATTTGTTCTATTTGTCTTTTCTGCTTCCAGGTAAGTCATTTCACAAACATTATTATTGGTAAAGAGAACTTTAGTCAGACGAGCTTGGGCAGGTGATCTTACATCACAGTCACCACTTGTTTTAAAGAGTCCCAAAATAGCATATGGGTTAGCTTATTCATTTTCATAATATAAGCAGCAAAAATGTTTTTATGAAAGTATATTTGGACTTTACTGTTAGAGTATACTTGAAATCCAGTAGATTTTAAAGATTGAAAAAATGCCTTTCCTTTTCTCCTTCCCTTTTTAGAGATTTCTGTTTTAAGATTAATATAAGGATAGGAACCCTATTTTCTGGCTGAGATAGAACACTAGTTACTGGGGCACCTGGGTGGCTCAGACGGTTAAGCGTCTGCCTTCGGCTCAGGTAATGATCTCAGGGTCCTGGGATCGAGCCCCACATTGAGCTCCCTGCTGAGCAGGGAGCCTGCTTCTCCCTCTCCCTCCGCCTGCTGCTTCCCCTGCTTGTACTCTCTCTCTCTGTCAAAAATAAAATCTTTAAAAAAAAAAAAAACACTAGTTACTGCTTAAAACATTTTTCAGATTTCCCATCTTTTTCCTATTTATATGTCTGTGATTTCAGTATTTGTTTCCATACTGTCTTAATTTTGATGTCTTGTTTTGCTGGTGGTGATCTTTTCTGTTGCTTTAATGTTCATTTCCTTTGGTCTTTTTATGCTTTCCTGGTTTCGAATACTTTCAGTTTCTCCTTTCTACCTCTTGTATTTGTTAGTTCTCTAGCACTTTCAGTTTTCTTCAAGGATCTGTAAAATTCCTTTAAAAGTTATATATAATAGTTTTAAAAACAAATAATTCTGAAGAAAAAAACAAATATGGACTGAAATCCTGCTGACATTTGTAAAATTTAAAAAAAATGCTGAGTGTGCAGAAAAACATAAAAATTAAAAGCTATCACCCGCCCCCCCCCCCCCCAAATACAGGCCAGCACTCCCTGCAGTTAACCTGTGGCTACCATGTGAAAGATGCATCTGTACTATATGTCAGCTGCACAGATGTTGTTTTCATGATACATCATTTAATTTTAGACCTTCAGGGCACCTGGGTGGCTCAGTCATTAAGCGTCCGCCTTCGGCTCAGGTCATGATCCCAGGGTCCTGGGATCGAGCCCCGCATCAGGCTCCCTGCTCGGCAGGAGGCCTGCTTCTCCCTCTCCCACTCTCCCTGCTTGTGTTCCTTCTCTCGCTTTATCTCTCTCTGTCAAATAAATAAATAAAATCTTAAAAAATAATAATAATAACTTTAGACCTTCACCATTCAACTCAAGACTTCGGAGTTAAATGACTAAAAACACGTTAGGAACATCTCCCTTCCCCTTTTTTCCTAATTCTGGTTTCTGGAATAATATTTTAAGTTTCGTTGAGGGAAAGAATACTCTTGCATTTTTGTTATTATTATTTGAAAATTATTTTTTCTTTAATATTTTTAAAGTATACTCATTTTGTCCTGATTGCAGCCTAAACATCTCTTAGAATCTATCTCTGGTTTTAAAACAGAAATGAATCAATAACTATAAAGTTATATCATTAGATGTATCTTATAGACTAAACTGGTTTATACTCTACTGTTAATTATATGGATAGTATCTACTTTGAAAATCCCACGTTTTCCTCTACCCTCGGGCCTGCCCTTTATTCCTTCACCATCCAGCCACAACTGACATTAGATCAAGGAAAGCATATTAATCTTCTTCTTGGTTTAAGAAAACAATGCATTGCAGAACTGAAAAACTGAAATAATTACAACTGCCAATGAAGAAAAGCCCAAAATGTTAGGGTGACTTGCTCAGGATTATTCAACAGGACAGTAAAATCTTGTTCTCCCGGCTGCTAGTGCAGTGATCTTTGTTACACACTGTAAAAGTTGCTAAAGGCAGCAAGATGCTAACAAATGCTAAAGACAGCAGATTTTTCCTACTGAAAACTGCCATCTCTGTTATTTTTATTTTTATGAAATTAAATTTATAACTTGTTGCCTCAATTTTGTCAAATTCTTAGAGGCAGCAGGCAGCATGATAAACCACAAATTAAGATGGATTTACATTTAGGGGCTCCTGGGTGGCTCAGTCGGTTAAGCATCTGACTCTTGATCACTTCTCAGGTCATGGTCTCATGGTCTTGGGACCAAGCCCCACCTTGGGCATCCGTGCTGGGTGTGGGTCTGCTTAGGATTCTCTCTTTCCTTTTCCCTCTCTCTCTCTCTCTCCCCCTCTCCCTCTCCCTCTTCCCCCCCTGCAAAAAAATGATTGATTCACATTTAATTTTTAAAAGACATAACATTTTTTTCTCTTTCCCTTCTATCATTTTATACACTCAGTACCTTCCCACCAACCAGATTAATAGAGTACATTCTGAAAAGTAGAATGTAATTTCAGGGGCCTTGAACTTTCCCAGACGTCTTTCTGTCTTAGGGAAGAGTAGAATCCAGGAATGCCTTTCCCTAGATTCAGTTCATTTGCATTAAATTCCACAATCTACATCCAGGCACTAAGCTAGGCATCATGAATACAGTGCTGAACAAAATCAGCCTGTCATAAAGATCTAGTCACCTAGGTAGGAGGGCAGAAGGGAGAGTGAGGCAGGGATTTAAGCAGATACAAGTAGTTTGTGTAAGGGCCCAGAAGCAAGAGACAGTTCAACACTTTCTGGACTTGTAGGGGTTGGCCTTTGTGGTTGGCTCGTGGGAGAATGGAGAAAGATGAGGCTGGAGGGAGGCAGGAGCCGGATCCGGAAGTATTTGGTTATAATGCCAAGGAGATTAGATATAGGATGTCACATTCTAACTATCTGTCTGCCTTGATGGAGTGAGATAGTCCACAAAAGGAAACTTTCCAGAAAACTGAAACCAAACTCAATTTGCCAGATCATTTTTCAGTCCATTTTTTTAAGGAATTCTAATAACACATTTCTTTTAAAACAGATTTCTTTTAAAACTTAGAACAGATACTAAGTATAGGTTTACTTTTTAAAAACTCAGTGTTCTCTGTTAACACTATATATTTTAATTGCCTTTGAAAAGTATAATTTTTCTCTTTATTTTCCTTTTCACAATGAAATTAGCCTTATTGTTGTTTCTTGCTATAAAATATACTCACGTAGGAATTCAAACAAACAGAAAAGCATATGAAAGAAAGTAAAAGCCATTTGAAATTCCACTTCCCAGAGGTAAGCACATTTGACATTTGTGTATGTACAGGTTCTTCCCACCCACTTGCCTCCCTGCTTCTGAGATATGATCATCTCTGCTTGCTGTTTTGTGTCACTTAACATTGTGACAATGAGATCTTCCCTTGTCAGTGAGAATACACACCTTGGTGTCCTCAGGATTTACTGTGTTTAATCTCAAGGGTAATCTGAGAAAACAAACAACCAAGCTTCTGAGAGTTATATTTAATTGGGTCAGTGAACTCTGACTTGTGGCTTACTAGCCAAAGCCACAGACTGATGAAGATTTTAGACTATGGATGAAGAAATGACATTGTGGCTAGGTACATTGTTTTGAATATTGATACTGAGGCTGTGGAGCCTGATTAGGTTTAATGACCAGACTGTAGACTGGCTAGCTGACCCATTTTTCTGCCTGAGCAGTTGCTTACAAAATATTTATCAATTTGACCTACTTCATATCATTTGTGCCATTTACTGCAGTCCCCACTGTCACTGGCTTACTAGAGGCTCTTGTCATTGCTTTCCAGGGCTACTCCTGTAACCTCCCATCTTAGCCTTTACATAAGGCTGCACTTAAAATCTTCAGTAGTATCACACCTCGCCCATAATATTGACGTTAAAACTCTCTGAGGTGTAGGACTTGTCATAATTGTATTATGAAGAGGGCCACATGACATTCCTTAATGGTTCTGTGTTTCTCAATACACTGCTTTTTCTGTGGACCCTCCAGTAAACATGTGGCCACCTTTATTTATATTCTTGAATGCCAGCTCATGTCGCAGCCCTTCTGTAAAGCTCTTCTCCCCACCACTTCACCCACCAAACAAATGCCACAAACCAAGGCCCCTTCCTCCTCTGTTTTCTTACATCACCACTTGTTTGTCCACTTGTTTCAGGAAAATCTTTCAGACAGTAGAGGTCTCATCCTTGTACCCCCAGGGCATGACACACAGCTGGTATTTAATGGCTGGAGAGAGTTCAGCCATGGAAACCTTATCAGTCTTCAGAGGAGCTGCTTGAATCAGATGAGCTTTGCTCTCAATTTGGCAACATATAGTCAGCATAAGTCACAATTATTTTTTCTTGGACGCAACAAAACTGTGTTTAACTCAAAACCCAAAAGTAAACTCTACAATGTAATCTCATACAGACATAGAAAGTCTTAAGTGTAAAAAGCAAAATTGTAGAACAGAATGTATTATGTGATTCCATTTGATTAAAAAGAATGTATCGAGTGTTTGTGTACATGTGGACTTATATATTATAGGTGTTTGATACATTCATTGAAGATATCTAGGACACATAACAAATGTTATCAGGAGCTACTGCTGGGGAATAGCTTAAGTGGGAGGAGCTTATGTTTTTACATCATACAGTTCTATGTTCTTTGATTAATTTTTTAAGGACTACTTCTAGTGGGTACTTTTTTAAAAGGAAACTCATTTGTGAATCCAAATAAGCCTCAATTAATATTTTAAAAACATTTACATTGTATAATTTTCCCACTGCTGTGCTACTCATTTAAAATTTTATATTATAAAATACCTACCATTTTAAATTTCTTTATTACTGTTATCCCCATTTTACCCATAGGGAACCTGAGATGTGGAGAAATGACATGGCTTGCCTTATGGCACAAAGCCAGAATCCAGGTTCAAGTCTGTTTGGCGAAAAAGCCTGGGCTTTACCTAACCACTTCCCTGAACATCACACATGAGTTGCTTCAATTTCTTTTTGTTTCACTTTGCTGAGATTTGTTTTATTTTCCATAGGTCTGTATGCTTTGCTCTGTGGGCTATCATCTTTTTTCCTGCCATCGATCAGAAAAAACCTGTCGAAGATGGATGGCATTAGATTATGCGGGAATTTCTATTGGAATACTGGGATGCTATGTCTCTGGGGTATTTTATGCATTTTATTGTAATAACGTAAGTAACTTAAAACATTTTACATTCTGTCTTTCACGTAGGTCTTGGGTTTTCTTACCGTGGTTCCTTTGAACTTTTAAATAAACACGTAATTAACTTGTAGAGGAAAGAAGAGTCTTGTGTAAACTCATTTTTCAAAAGGGCCCTTTGATCTCTAATATCTATTACCAGATCTATACTCCTTTTACTAATTTTCCATTGAAATATATGAAGATATTTTCTTAAAACGGCTGTAAACACTACATTATTAGTGTTTCCAGCAAATCCATATAGCTACATGATTCCTCAGATGCACATTATATGTCTTTTATGTTTATAGAGCTGAAGTTAAAGTTAGCGCCTGATGAAATTATGAAGCTTGCTGCTGCTTTTCATTTTCCCTCATTCTTTACCCGTCTCTCAGTGAAAAAAACAAAGGGTTTGTCTGTGAGCATGTTGACCCAATTCTTCATAAGAAATACGTTTTCCTTTCTTTAGTCTTATATTTGGAGGTAAGCACAGAGACAGACCAGCTGGGTGGTGAGTGACTTTAACAAGTATGTATCTATTCTGAGTTCGAGATCAGCTCTACTTTTGACGCTGATGTCACAGAAATCAGTTGTTGCCTTGTGCAAAGCAGCATTTGAAACACTGCTATCGGATTATATTGGCCCGCCAGACTATGGAATACAGTCCTCTAGCTCAGCACCTCACGTCCCAGCCAAGGAGGCCAACTGACCCTTCCACTGGGCTCAGTACATGTCAAGCCCCCCCATTCAGGAAGTCCTCTTCAGCTCTCCTCTCTCTTCCTCCTGCTCTCCTACCTTACTCTTTTCTGTTTTGTCCTTTAGTTCCCTCCCGTTCAGAGCCAGGACAGAGCTGTGCAGGGGCAGTGTATGTACTAGGTACTTGTAGTCCTGCTCACAAAGGAGTAGAGCCTGTCCTCTCCACAAGCCCTCCACACGTAGCAGGTGCTCCAAGCCATATTCCCCAGCCTTAACATACTGGGAAGATTGGCTGTAGTGCAGGACTCCTCTGACTTTGGGAATTCTTAAGTAGGACCTTTGTCTCTGCACAATAACAGAGATAACTGCCAGTAAAGCTAAAGGGTAAAACTAGCAAAGAGAAAAATCATAAATTTGGCTTGAAGTAAGAGAATTGTTGATTGTAGCCACTTACATATTAGGCTTTTTAGGCCTAATTACTTTGGAACATAAGCATTTAATTAAATATGTATGCAATTAACCTTGTAAATTGATTTGATTTTAGTAATAAAATGTTCATATCTGCTCAGCTTTCACTTACTCATTTTGCATGAAACCATTTATATCTTTTAGAAAATTTGGAATAAGCTGATAACTAGGAGCTTGTGAGGGCAGTCATGTCATATTTGAATTGTTTTACTTCTCTTATTCTTTCTCTGAAAGCTAACCTGTTTTCTGTTTACCTTTGCCCAAACATACCTGATAATTCAAGAGAGCAATGGGACACTTCTTGTAAATCTCTTTTCAGAAAAGCTAGGTTTCCAAGAGAAAAGAAAACCACTGGAGCTAATGATCACTTAAAGGAAAAATGGGTTTCTTTCCTCTGGTACCTAATCGTTTCCAAATATTCAATTGCTGTAGTGGCTCTTTATCTTCTAAGGAACACAAGCTGCTTTGAGAATGAGATTGAGAACTCTGGACCCTCCATCCAGGGGAATATACATTTGGGCACAGATTAACCAAACAATTTGACATGTGATTTCAGGAAGCTAATAGCCCCACAGAAGTCCTTGGAGCCCAGCTTAAGAACTCTGCTCTGTGTCATGCTAACTTTTGAGCTTCAGCTGCTCGTTTAGATACCTAAATATTCTGTAAGCCCTTCAGACTGAATCTGTTTGAAAATGTGCATGATTTTATGCTTTCCCATTCTCTCTCTCCCACCCACACAAACACCACACCTGGATTATCTCTGCTCATTTGCCACATTAGTAGAAGCCACTTGCAAGGCCTTTCGTAATGGAAACATTCTGGCCATCCTCTACTGCCTTCTCACACATCCAGTCAACCATTAAGATTTGAGTTCATTTTTTAAAAGTCTCCTGAATCTGCTGCTCACATCTCTGTCTTCCTTGTTCAACCAGAGCCCAAGCCTCCATTCACTCTTTGAATTAGTTATTCTAATACCTTCTAGCTGGCTTCCTGTCACCGCTTTCTTTTTCATACTGATGTCAGAGTTACCTAATAAGTCCGTTTGAAAAGCAGACCTGTCATCTCATTCTTAAAGAACTTGCTATTCCCCCAGTGCCAACATGTTAAAGTTCCAATTCCTTAGCCTGACAGTACACCTGCCTTTCAGCCTCCCTTCTCAAAACCTTCCCACTGTATGTGCTGTTCCTTTTCCTTGAGAATTCCCTCTTCCCACACAATCATATGTATTCCTCAAGAATCATCTGCTTAGATACCATCTCCTCTGTGAAGCATTTATTAGCTACTCCAGGTAGCAGACACCCCCTCCTCTGTGACTCTACAACGTCTGTTCACAGCTCAGTTACAGTACTTACCATTGGATTATAATCATTTGTTCGTGTCTGCCCCTCCCATAGTCTATGAGCTCACCCACTGGGAGAGTCCGTGTCATAGCTTTGTGTCTACAGGACTTAAATTGTCCCTGGCATATAACAGGTACTCAGAAAATGCTCTTGTATGAACAAATGTGGTTTCTACCAACTCACTGTCATCCTAAGAAACCTAATGGGTATATGGAACATGCAGTGTTTTAAGGAAGTTAACCATGTTCAGAAATGAAAAAATGTAAATAAGTTTGGAACGTATAGTGGAAAGGCCAGAATTGCTCTTTTCCTTCTCTTATTGTTAGTAACAATGAAAATTTGACTTCCTTCCCGTCCAGTATTGGCGTCAAGTGTACTTGATCACAGTGCTCGCTATGATCCTGGCAGTGTTCTTTGCGCAGATCCATCCCAATTACCTCACGCAGCAGTGGCAGAGGCTCCGCTCCATCATCTTCTGTTCCGTTTCGGGATACGGAGTGATCCCTACCCTTCACTGGGTTTGGCTCAATGGAGGAATCGGTGCTCCTATTGTACAGGTAGGTTGAGTGTAGTCGGTATTTTTCTCATTTTTTTTGTCCTTTAGATTATATTCATTTGGGGTGAAGTACTATAATCAGACCAGATGGCTGGGTCTCTGTCATTTGAGAAAATATTTATAATTGCATATTAATGCCATAATGTTCACATCTATATAAATAAGCATGCCTTGCAGGAAAAAGAAGTGTAACTATTGCTTTTTTTTTTCAAAGATGTCTTTCTGCAAAATATGTTCTTAATTCTCCTTCTGCTACCGTGAGTGTGTAAATGCCCAAGTCAGTGGAGGAGAACTTCCAAGTTCCCAGCTTTGTTAGCTATGGCAAGGATAATGCCAGTGATAACACAAATATGGAACTAGGAGGGATTGACTGATTGATTGATTGATTGTTCTGTGGAGGAAAAGGAGCTGGGAAAGATTTTTCCTTGGACCTGTTGAATTTGAGGCAACTGTGGGATGTAAAGGTGGAGATGGAGTCAGAATTTAGGTCACAGTTTGAGACTAGTGATAAGATTTGAAAATCATTACTAGCTGGAGCCATGAGAACATGTCCTACTACCAAGGACAATATACTGGGAAGTAAAAGAAGAGCTTATAGAGTTAGGTATAATGGGGCAAGTCGGAGTGCATTTAGGAGGTAGCTCAGTGAGAACGCCTCAGTATTCTTGAGAAGGGAATTAGAAATAAGAGCTCAGAGATCCATACAAAAATGCTTTAAGAATATGCTTGAGAATAAACTTAAGAATTTTTAACATCAGTAAATATGCCAGGAAATCTAGCAGAAATAATGTACAGTTGTTGCAGTGGGACCTTCGTCTGGAATATGGGGATTTAAATGCAGGTTTTATTCAAAAGGATCATATTTTTTTAGAAGACGGGAGAACGAATAGTAGGCTTACATGTACTTGCATGAAGTCAGCAACAGCATGATGGAAAGCATTTGGGTATAAAACTGGAAAGGAAGGAAATTCTGTGATATAGCTAGTTGAGTGGTATTTGTCAACTTGAGAACAGGGTGATGCTTTCTTCATAAGATTAAGAAATTGGGAGAAAGTGAGACAGTAGTGATGAGGAACTTCAGTGATCCTGATATCTGAAAACATCATTTCTCTGCCAATTTTAATTCCCTGAATATAAGTTAAAGAAAATACAGTGGTGAAATGCAACTGTAGATTTAATTGGGTAATTTAAACTGGTTATTGACATAGAAGGGACCGAAATTTGAGATGAAGTAAACACATCCCTTTTAAGCTTGTAATGATAGAGAACCAGACCTAGTAAGCCAGTAGATTTTTGAGAAATTCAGAAAAATACGGGAGCTTTCCTGTGTCCAAAAATCTTACAATAGAAATATGGTTTAGGAAAATAGTGGTTCTGAAAGATGGAAATCTAATGTGATCACAGATCATTCCAGTGAAGAAGCAGAGGGAGACGTCCTGAGAAATTCTCTAATAAGCTGTAATTTTTAAAAGATGGGGAAAGAGGGAGAGACTTAACCAAAGATGAAAAGTTCCAGAAGGGCTAATCCTGGGAAGCAGGGTGTGGTTGTGTTCTAGAAGGAGAAATCTCATAGTCATTAGTCTAAGAATGTAGGATTTCAGGAGGGCCATGATAATTCTCAAATACTTATAGAGAGAAGTAATTTGTCTTTATTTCTTAAATGGCTTCTTGGTGAATTAGGTTTATAACCAGAATTAGGAACAATATGTAACAATTTTACCTGGCTAATATTCTTAGGGCAAGGAAAAGCTCTCCAATTAGAGCTGATAGACTGCTTCATATAGTAATTCAGGAGGACCGTTTATCGGGTTGGTGGACAGATTTCATTGTTGGGCCAAATTTTTTTTTTTTTTTAAGATTTTATTTATTTATTTATTTATTTATTTATTTATTTATTTATTTGAGAGAGCACAAGCAGAGGGAGCAGCAGAGGCAGCGGGAGAAGCAGGGACATGGGGCTCAGTTCTAGGACCCTGGGATCATGACTTGAGCTGAAGACAGACACTTAACTGACTGAACCACCCAGGTGCCCCCTAAACCTCTTGTGTCTTTTCTAGCTACAAGACCCTGATCTTCAGTTATTTTGCTTGTTCCGCTGGTAACTCCATTCCCCATATGCATTCCACCCATGCATCTATGTTGTAGTTGGAGTTGGGTGTTTTAGGACCTTCAACCATGTTAAAGTTCTAGCTTCTTTAGTACCCTCACCTTTAGAGTACTCTGTTCCACTCCTGTGGGCCATTTCCTACAGGGAAGAAGAAGGAAAGGGAAAGAATCCCAAGTAGACTCTGCACTGAGCATGGAGCCCGACAGGGGCTCGATCTCACAACCCTGAGATCATGACCTGAGCCAAAACCAAGAGTCAGATGCTTAACTGACTGAGCCAGCCAGGTGCCCCTGTTTCCTACAGTTTTGAGAGCAAGGTTTCTATAATTGGAGACTATCAACAAAAGCAGTTGAGATTTAACAAGGTTAAATTCCACCTATGAATTCTACCTAATTTGTGAATTCGATTCATAATAAATTAGGAATTCAGTCACAGTAAAAAGATCTGTGAAAAAATGTTTTGCTTTTCAGGACTTTGCACCCCGTGTAATTGTGATGTATGTGATTGCTCTTCTTGCTTTCCTATTCTACATTTCCAAAGTTCCAGAACGATACTTTCCAGGTAAGTATCACTTTCATAGTGATCTTGTGACTTTATTCTAAATATATGGTGGAAGTCTATGCTTCAGAGTATCAAAAGTTAGATTTTTTTCAATATAATTGGTTATAGAATGGCCCTCCTATTGTTAAATGTTACCTAAAAGCTTAACTTTCAAAGGGCTTTCACAGACTTCCTGTCCTCCTCACCATGAGTGAGTGCAGTAGATGAGGTCACCACCATTTCCCGATTATGAGCTAGTGACAGAGCTGGGAGTCTTCTGACTCCCAACCACTGCTTTTTTTGTGGATACTAATTATCAATTATCATTGACTTCTTTATATATCACTCATCTTAAAAAATTATACATGTAGAGATCCACAAAACAAGAATAACAGAGGGAAGTAAGATAATGAAAAGAAGCCAGGGTTAGGATCACTTCACCATATATCCATCATGAGGTTCTAAAATTAAAGGCCACCAATCTGCCTTTCAGCTTCCTGGTACCCAGTGCTGAGGGGAAGATAATAGAAGTTAAAAATCTTCACGTCCACAAGATATACACAAGCTAGTAACCCAATAGAAGGACAGATTTCCCTGATTCTTCAGTCCAGAAAAAAACCATCTTTGATAGAAAAGAACCAAGAGGACACTGGGTGGAATGAATAATGTCCAAAACATGTATTTGCTTGCTTAGGAACTTCGGTCTGGAGTCAGACTGCTTGGGTTCAAATCCACATCACCCACTTACTAGCTGCATGAGCTAAATAAGTTACTTGTACTTTTTCAGCTCATTTCCTCATCTGAGGATGGAGATACTTTCTCTCATGGTGTTATTGTGAGGACTGCATGCGAAAATGTACATGAACCATTTAGCAAGGTTCCTCACAAGTAGTAAGCACTCAGCACGTGCCAGCAACTATTATGATGATGATGTCCCTCGACCTCAGTCCCATAAGTGGAAAATGTGGTTTAGTAAGGGACAGAATGGTGTAAGTCCAGGTGAGCTTTGGCTTGAGTCAAGAATAACAGAGTACAGAGAGCAGTGATTTTTTTGGTTTGAGGAGCTATAAGTAGGGCAGTGGTTCATATTCAAACTGCAAACTTGTCCTTCCTTCCTGGGCTAAGATTCTCTTCCACAGTGAATTGAAGATAGGATTATGCCACTCATGATGTACGTCGGGAAGAGAAAGGATGAGAAACCCTGATCTAGTGAATGAATAGATCACAGAACCTCAGGCATTCTTCTGTGCACTTTTCACCAGTGAGTTTTAAATACGAGTGGAGTAGAAAGAAGAACCTGAGTGTAAACATTAGGATTCAAGAGCATAACTAGGACATGTCCCTTCACTGAAGACCACCCATCCTTCAGGGAGGGCCAGAATTTTCCTCAGAAAATGGTTCTGGCAAAATATATTAATAATTCTTTTATTACTAATTTCTTCATGACAAGTACATGTAGAAAATTCAACCATGAAATTTTTCTACACTACATAATTGTGGCCATAGTGTTTTTATGCCTTAAAATATTCATATCAGAAGTTCCCAGTTGTCTAACATAAGACCCCTATAAAAGGTCAAATGTTACATAACTTGTCCCCCAGATGAGCTTGACATAAACTGTGCCCCGTGTAGAGGAGCATGTGGCAGAGTGCAGGGGCAGCGGAGACATGGAGACCATACGAGATAAAAAGTCTTCTCAGAAAAAAAAATGATAGTCTCAGATGCTCTTGAATGAGTAGCTTAGAAACCTTGTCTTGCCAGTCCCCATTTATGACCCCATTTATGGCTGTAGAGAGAAACATGCAGTGGTGAGATGGTGGGTGAATACTATGAGATCAACAAATTGACACCTAAGAACTTACTTTCAGCTCAGTTACATTTTTAAAAATATAGAAACAACACAATGGTATTTGATGGGATCCAGAGATCCCCAAACGTACCCATGGACAGAACTAAGTGGATCTATGATACTTGTATGACAGTATGATCAGTTTTCTTTATAATACTCTGTATTTTGTGCTTTTGAAAATGGGTCTGTGGGTTTCACTGGACTGTCAAAGTGTGCTGTGGGACCAAAAAAAGGCTCGGAACCCCTACAGAAAGGATTGTGCAGACTTTAAAACCTCCATACTGTACTGTTTCTCTTTGTAAGAAAAGACAGGGACAGTGGTTAGAGAATATTTACATTACGTGACCATAGAAGCACCATGAGTAAGGAAAAGAGATTTATATTTAAATTTCTATAGCTCTGTATTTATTTTGTTCTTTTTCAAGAAGCTTCCCACATGTTAATTATTTAATCTCCTTGGAATTTAAACTTTAAGCACAAAGAGAAATAGTTCTGAGTTGTGTATGAACTAATCAACCTTAGTTAATGAAGCCATACTAATTACATTTTGTGGATTCGTCCATGACACATATATCCAGATAGAGAACACATGAGACAGGGGAGACAAAAGATCAAATTCCTGAAATTAACCAAATTAGATTTGGAAGACACACTTGGAATAGCATTTCAAAATTCACCAATGTCCTTAAATTAGACCCAAATATGAATTCATCCTTTTTAAAAAAACAGTTGGGTTTGAATGAATCTCCTGTCAGTCTCCAGGTGCTCTGACACTGCCAAAATCTTTTTGCGCTAAGCCATATTTCTAAGGCCAGAGATAAAAATACATTCTTATTTTAATATCAAAATATTACAATCAATATTGTTCTCTCTCTGCCTTCCCTTTTAGGACAACTAAACTACCTCGGATCAAGCCACCAGATATGGCATATCCTTGCAGTAGTGATGTTATATTGGTGGCATCAGTCAACAGTGTATGTCATGCAGTACAGGCATAGCAAGCCTTGCCCTGACCATGTTTCACATTTGTGAATTCAGGTATGGCCGCCTGGTGTATTCAGTCGTCAAGCAATATGTAATGGGGAGTTGTATACCCCACTATTTCTAAGATTCACATTCATTTTTCCTTTTTCCTCCTATTTAATATATCATGAGTAATACTTTATAAAAATGGAAAAATATACCTGGGGATCTGTAATAATAACTGCTTTACGGCCCTTAAAACTACTAATTTGCTGCTTGTACAGAAAGTGAAAATTAGTTGACATTTATAAGAAACATCTGAATAACAATGAATGTGAAACCAGTGTAGAAACAGTATTTGTTTTACTTAACACCAGCTTAATTTCCTTAGGAAGGGCTTACCTCCATTATAAAATGGAGTCATCCTGTGTGATTTCTTTAATAGAAGATACTTACAGTGGTTGTTCAAGTTGAAGTGCCTCATCAAGGCCAGGGTTGCCATAGCCTATGCTTAACACAGCCAGAAGAGTGGTTTTGAATCATCACTAGCCTTTAAATACATGGTCTGCGAGAAACTGGCATGTAAGACAGGATTTCCTTTAGCTATAGGCTCTCTTCTCCTTAGGAACATTGGATTTTTTAGTTTGCTAGAACAAAAACTTTAAACCTTTCCTCCTTTAAGTTGAGAGAGGCATTAAGAGGAAAAGAACTTGCATTGTCATTTCCCATCAGATAAGAAGCGCATTAAAAACTGATTATATGACCAGGCAACCAATTCTGTGGTCTAATAACCAAGGCATTCACATTTAAGCTTTTTAAATTCAAAGAATATTACTTAGTTCCGTATAATAATTGCACTCTTGCCAGTGGATTACAGATTTTTGGTTCAAAAATTCCTGTAGCAAAATAGAGTTTCACCTCTCTGAATTTGCAGTCCTAAATTTCTTGATCGATGGGGGTTCCCAGTTAAATGGGTGCTACTTACTTTCAAGGCCACAGAGTCCAGATGGCCCAGGGTTGACCCCAAAATGAACCTTAAGCCTTAGAACAAAGTCATGCAGATGCCCCAACTGATGACAGGATTATTCCCTTGTACTCTAGTCTTTCCCTGTTTTATGCATGTGTTAGCATTTTATTGACAACTCAGAGTATTGATACACACTATCTAGTATTTGGGCCTGAAACATTATTCTTTATTGTATATACCTAAGAAATAGGTCTCACTGCCCTAGCATACAACGCTCTTCTTGTTCGTGGTCTTTTCATATGTATAAATTAAATCCCTTTTGAAGCAGTCATTCACAAAAACATGTTCATTGGAATATATAAAATATCCAAATTTCTTAGTGGAATAATATATAAAATATTATCCAAATTTCTTCAGAACATTGGAATTCCTAAATATCAGAAGTGTTGATTAATGGCAAAGCTTATTTCCACATTGCCATTTATACATCTCATATTAGAAATTTAATGTGCCTCCATTTATGCATCTGTAAAATTTTGTTTCTTTTCAGTATAGTGTTTTTGGAATATAAATTCCCCATGCTAGCATCTCAGCATGGAGAATCTTCGCAATAGGCTAAGGGCGCTGTATTGTACCCATTATGATGATGGAACACACACTACTTTGAAAATGGCTACTTTGCTTCATAAGGCCACAAATTTCATCCATATTGCTGAGTGATAAAAAGACTTTGCTGTAATGATAATAGGGTGTATTTTCCACAAAACAACCCTTATGGGTTTAATATGGTATTATTGATCTTAGATTATTTTGTCATTTTAGCCAAATAAAATACACTGAGAGTAGTTATAATTAATTTAAAAATAGAAAAGTCTAGTCATTTTAGGCCTGGTACCATTTTTACCATAAAATCTTCTCAAAATAAAAACATTGAATTTTAAGTTCTGTTTTCTCTTAATTTTTAAAAAATATTCCTGGTTTTTTGAGTGTATGGAATTATCTAATACTTGCCATCTGACTTAATGGATAAAAAGGGCATACTGTGTTTGACTGTTTTTTTAATTTAAAAGGCATATTGCTCTGACTGTAGGGAGAATTATACCCTGTGAACATTTCATCTTATGAAAATGTTAAATATTGTAAGAAAGCTATCCTCTCTCATTTTCCTCTTTACTGTATTTTATTATTAAGTAGGGAAAGAATGAATGTGGATTGCTGTCAACTATAAACACTTCTGTATGTCAGTGTTTATTGACCACCTACTGTGTGCATACCACTACTGGCAAATTTTTTAAGACACTGTTAACATGAAAGAATATTTAAAAATTGCCTACAAATCTGAGCCTTGTAATAATGTATATTTATTTTTGTTTTATAGATTTATTAAAAAATAAGATTAAAAGTACATACTCAGCTGCCATACTAAAAAAACTGGTTTTAATTTTACAGTGTATAAACTATAAAAGCTCTTTACCTACAGACTTTACACGTACATTTTAAAACTATCCATGGCTGTTTTAATTGTCTATTGTGATTTATAAGGTTGTAGTTAACTCATTTGAGGCAATTATCTTTCTATATAAAGCCATTTTCAAAAGATAGTGCTTGTCTTTTGTTATTACACTGAGTGCAATTCAGTCAGCTGCATGGCAAAATATGTATGATGTAAATAAACTGGGTTTACTAAATATATTAAGCACCGTCTGTCATTCTTTATAATACATAACAGCTTCAAAATCGTATTTTAGAATCAGGAATGAAGATTCAGGGAATCTCTGTCACATCATCCTTTGGCATCCTACCTGGACAAAGTAACCGATTTGAAGATTGTGATTGACTGGCATAACGCTGTGCAACTCCATTTGGCAGGTACCTACCTAGAGCTATCCTTTGCCCTGTATTAAAATGTCAAGGGGCAAAGCCTGCACTTCTGGATTCCTGCCAACTGCTGAGCTGAGTAGATCTGTATCCACGTGAAGTCATCATTCCGGGTAATTCCAGCCCTGCCAGAATGTGTGAAGAATCAGCTTAGCTATTCAGGCAGGGACAGAAGTGTCTTTTCCATGCATTATCACAATTACTGCATTTGAATTCAAAAGAGGTACAGATGCTACTGGGTACCAATGTCCCCTGAAATTCTGTATCATACTTCCTGAGTAGGTAGTGAGATAATGACCCAAAACTGAAACTACCTTTAAGGAAACATTTTCACAAGGGAGAGGTAACAGCAATAGGGTTCTCTTGTGAAAAGTGGAAATTCTGTCCTTAGAGGGTAGGAACGATAGCCACCAAAGCTCTAGTCCTGCTTTGTAGGACTAGTGTTTTTTGATCCCAGACTGGGATCAAAAACACTATGTAGAACATACCTGTAATTTTCAGTAGTGCCAACTGAACTATTTTTAAGTGTGCAACATAAAACTTCAAAAGCTCATGCCTTCACTATGAGAAGAATTAACTACATCTTACAGATGATGCTAGAGCTGGACTTCCTTAAAAAGGGATTCGCTATTCAAAATAAATAGCTCTAATTGCAGGATGTATTTTTCTCTAAAGAAGTTAACCATAACTGAATTTGAACAGTGGTACATTCCACACTTCGTACAATTTACTAAAAAGACACAAAGCCCTTATTCTTCCATGTAACTTCAGGTGTTACTAAGTCAAAAAAAAAAAAGTTCATAACAAGATGAATCTTTCCACCAGCCACCAATCTAAAAACTTCAGTTTGTGAAATAATACGTAAGATAATGCAATCTTGACACCAAACTTAGTCCACCAGTCCAATAAACAGGTTTTCTCTTTAACGTTTTAACGTGCCAAAGCCTCTTTTCTGACATAATCAAGGATTACAATATTTTATTTAACCAAATATTTTTTAAGTTATATACATTACCAGTTTTTAAGAAGCTTAAATAAATTATACACAATGCAAAAGCAATGCCAAACATTCAAAAGGTACTTCAAAGTCATGTTTTTGCCTTACCTTCATTATTATAATTATCAGTAATTGTAGTGCCTGAACAAATTGTGCTATGAAGTATTTTTGCTGCAAAAATGCTAGGTCACAATAGGTTTTCTTACTTAAATCCTACACTCTGAGTTTTACCCTAAGAACAGAGATCTAATCCTATCCATTTTTCTATTCCAGTAGCTGGAGCATAATAGGTGCTTCATGTCTGTAGTGTGAATAAAAGAACTGAATAGAAGTCTACATCCAAAACATTTAAGACAAATAATGAAAAACTCCAAAGTCACTAATTATAAAGAATATGCAATCCATTTGGGATTTATTGCATTTAAAGAAAGCAGATTATTAAAACAGTAGGTATGATAAATACAGTAAGAAAATAATTTTAAACTTCAAACAAAACAAAGTGAATGAGGGACAGAATTCAGTCAAGAAGAATAAGCAACGTAATGGCAATAAAGTCGTAAAATCAGTTAGTGCTTAATTAGATGTAGAAAGAAAAAAAAAAAGCAACTGATTCTATCTCATAAACAGTTTCCCAGCTATATTTGAGGATTGAAGTTACTTTAGAAAGTATGTTTTGTAACAATGAGAAATATAATAAGCACGTAAATCAGGTTTATTAAAAGTTATTTGCTTAGTGGTACATAAAAGGCTTCAGAAAATTCAAGTTTAACAAAAAATGGAAGTTTAATCAAAGAAAGTGCACTTAAAGCTGTTTGCCAGCAATTTAAAAAGTAGCTTACTATTACTGTACTGCTTACCATCAGATGACCTTCAATCACAAAAAGAGAGCAGGAAAAAAAAGTTCTTTCAAAAGTAGCACAATCGATTTTTAAATAAAAATAACCCCAAATGATGACCCATTGCATTTTCATCTGTCTACCTCATTCTTTTAGTGGCTTTTATAAAACCTCCCTAGGAGTGAATGTTCTTTTAGTAATGATTGTGGTTGCAATTCCATTTAAAAGTAAAAATTCACATTAACTCCACAGTAGAGAGATGTGACATGTGCATGCATGCGTGTGTTTATATATTTTTCTCAATATATAGACACCCTGGTGTATACAAAAGTTTTCAAACATAATTTTTATTCTCACAGTAGATATGTCATCTCATTCTCACAGTAGATCTGTCAGCTCAGTATCAGACCTAACAATAATGAGTGATTTTGCTAAAAGGGAAGAAAAAGTTAACTGCACATTCTACACATATTAAAACAAATGTACCAAACTCTTCAGACCTAGTGATACTAATACATGTGTACCTTCTAGCAATGCTTATATGAAGTACCAAAACCTAAACTAAGCAGAGTAGCCAAATAGTAAGAAAACTGCTCTGCCTATGAACATCAGAGCCAAAGGGGGGCTCCGCCTTACTCTTTCCACCAGCAGTATGAGAACAACAATCTATTACCGTTAGACAATAAACAGGGTGGGATCAAAAGGTGTGTCTATCTACAATTCCAAATAATGTCATAACTGTGCCCAAGTACACATTCAGGGATAGGTGGTAGGTCAGTGGAAGAATTACACAATTTCCCACTGATACTTCTGAATAAATATTCTAGCCAGTTAAATTTTCATCTGGCCTAAAACCTTTCTTCCTCCACCTAATACATATACCAAGCAACTTTTGTGTCTCAGCAGATACATTCTTCCATGCCATAAAAGCTGATCTTTTTAACACTAACAATTGTGAAGTGATATTTAAAAAGTTAACTGAATGGTCCACTTTTAAAACGAGTATTCAAAATCAACAAGCATTATTAAAGCTGTTAGGACAGAAATAACTTTGGCCTCAGATTTTTGCTAGCTTCATAATTTACTTCCCTTAGCGTGATGTTCAAGTATTACAGGTTTAGTTATGACTACTTTACGTACAAAAGCACAGAGGACACCTGATTAATAATAGGAAAATAATTTCAACTCTCCTTCCTTAAACAAGAATTGGACCATCCCATAATAGAACCAAACTTTTACTGAACGTTGTGTCCCAAGTATGTGTTAGGCTCTTTCACGTGCCTTGAGAGTCTCATAATTCTCATAAGGGAATTACCTGGGCATCACGAGAGTGACCTACATCCTAACGATAGTGGGAGGAGATAATGAAAAATGGAAAGCAACCCTAATCCTGTACTCCTTGGAAAATGCCTTTACTTCAACACACAGGAATCTCCCCATTTCTATCCTATTGGGTCCCCTGTCGAATCCTAATGTTTCCTCTGAGCTATAATCTCAAAAGAGGAAAGTCACTGGGCTGTAATATAATAAACATACGGATGGAAGTATTTTAAACAATGTCAAAATTGTTTCTTTAGAATTCATCTAACTTTATAAGCCCGAAGTGCCTACATCAGTGTCTAAATCACTTAAAATTATTCAGTGTATTGAAAAGCAAGTGTAAGCAAGGCCTTGGTATCAGACACAATCTAAGTATTTCATGTTTACATCCCAAGGAGACCACATTAATTCATCTACTACCCCTTTTAAATTATAAAACTCATGAGGTCTAGCAGAGACCAAGGCCAAGGACTAAAATAGTCAAAAGCATACCGTGTACACATCAACAAATTTTCATTAAAAAAAAATTGTTTGATACAAACCTAC